GGCTTGATAAACACAGAAAATGGCAAACTTGGAGACTCGTTAAGGAAATTCATATAATAGCTAAAAGAAACCGTGGATAATGCAGATGAAATTATGACTATAACAACGACGGTTAACGGTGATCCAAACCTAATAACCCGGTCTTGACACCACAGGGGCTGTTGTGGATGCTAAAGTTTTGTAGATTCCCAATCTTTGTAGGTGCGATTTCGCCATGCTCGCTCTCTAACCAGCTCACCTCTTCTCTGAAGAGCTCCAAGACGTTGGACAACTTGCCCCGTGATAGTTCGTTATGACGCTTCAAGGTGGCCTCCCAGTTGTTGTTAACAAGCATGAGCAATCCAGATTTCGAGTGCTGTATGAACTCCCGAAGACACATACACCACGTGTGCGAGAGTTGCTCATACGCGAGGTTCTTGAAGTAGTTATTCGACAGCTTTTCAAACTCTGGTAGCTTATGCAACAGTGAGGTGGCCTGGTGTAGAAACTCTAGTGAGACTGCGGGCTGCGATTCCACCGGGGGTAGAAACCCCAGCGTGTAGTCGCTCAAAGCACTCAGGAAGTCCTCGATCAGAGGCTTCACACGCAAGTACGAATACTCACAGGACTGGTCGACTTTATAAGGCAACGCCTGTAGGATCGTGTCAATCTTGGACGAGAGGATCCGTATCGCACGCTCCACAGACGGCTTTGGCGCAGCAGTGTGGATGCTCGGCGTCAACTCAGGGTGCAGCTCAACCAAGCTCTCCAAAAGCGTCTGTAACTGCTCCTTATCCATAACCTCCAACAACCTCGACGTCGGTAGTTGCTGTCCCATGATGCTCTGCACAGCAGACCTCGTCTTCTTGTTCGAAACATCTCGTTTCCCAATACGAAACTTGCTATCCTTCTTCACAGCACGTCTCATGACAGGCGAGCCACCACAACTAGTGCCACCATCCTCGTCCTGGAACCGTCTCTTCAACTTGTGCGTGGCCGTCGACGGCGATGGTGATATCGATGCTGCCGATGCCGTCGGAATCACGCTGCACTCATCATCTCTCTTCTCTTCCTCAAACTTCGGTGTAAACCCCCACGAAAACGACAGACTCATCTCTATAACTCAACAGATCGAATGGAAGGGCAGCCAAAGCACACACCGTGATCGCTGTGCGTGAGTGTGTTGATGATTGGAGGGTTGAAGGCAGCGTTTGGACGAGGTTTTTGTGCGAGTTTTTCTATGGCTTTTTTGCTGTGGAAAGGGGGGCGGCGAGGCGAAAAGGGCAAAAAGAAAATAGAGTCGGAATACTGTGATCGGAATACTGTGATCGGAATTGGTCGGAATGGATCGGAATCTCCTGGTCGGAATCGTCTGTCGGAATGTCTCGGAATATCTCGGAACTGGCACACGGTACGCGCAGCATGTGATGAGCTCGATAAATTTTTCCCTCTCCAACTTCAACGCTGAACTTCTCCAGAACAGGCTCTCCTTCCACAGACCGCTGAGGCATTACAACTGTACTGGAGACTCTTACCATGAGATTCAGCCCTATTGAGCACCATGGGCCCTGTATTGCTGTCAAGTTCTATTCCGATGAGCTGCTGCTCGTGGGTAACGGCCCGCTGCTGAAAGTGTATAACCACATCACTGGTGAGGTGCTCACGTCGAAGAAGATCTTCAAGAGAAACAAGATCCACGGTATCGTTTTCCAGAGAGACACCGTCGGCATATACGGTGCACGGTCGTTCTCGATCCTCTCGATGTCCCAGATTCTGGAGGACGACGCGCTGTATGAGGAGGAGAAGATGGTGAACGACTGGATCATAGCTGGCGAGTTCTGCTCCAAGGGATGGGAGCTATACTTGCTCACGGCGCATAACGTGGTTCTGAGCGTGGACTCATACTCAAAGACACTGCAGTGGGAGCGCTCTGTCTTTGGAGAAAAGTCCATCCTGTACTCTGGGTCTATCAAGGTGCTATCCCAGTGGGAAGTCATGGTCAACGCCGGTACTGTGATGGATGGTATCATCATTTGGGACTTGCATAGACAGGAGGTTGTCCATGCTCTGAAAGGCCACGAGGGATCGATATTCAGTGTCCAATCAAGTGCCGAGAACAAGTACATAGTGTCCTGTTCGGACGACCGTTCGATAAAGCTGTGGTCTGCGAAGACCGGCGAGTTGAAGTCAACAGCATGGGGCCATACTGCCAGAATCTGGAATTTGAAGTTCATCGGCGACGAAGGTGTTGTCAGTGTTTCCGAGGATTTAACCGCAAGAACCTGGAGAATCACTGAAGACGAACAACTGGTCCCAGTCCACACCTACGAATTGCACAATGGTAGACATATCTGGGGGTTGGACGTCAATGCAGAGGGCACCATTGCAGCAACTGGTGGTAATGATGGAAGAGTCAGACTCATCGACATAACCGTGGATAAGGTTGACAGAGAAAGTGAGACGTTCACGTTGGAACAGATTGCCTCACAATGTCAAGACGACTATCAAGTCCAAAAGAAGGAAATTGTGAAAGGATTCTGGCAATTGCAATGTGGACTGGTGCTAATCACCTCATTCGGAGGCATCTTCCAATACAGAGATGGTAAGTGGAGCTTCGTTGCTCAGAAGCCCGAGTTCAACAATCTCACATTGACAAATGGCTTTACGAACCAGAATGTCATGACCTTCACTGGAAGCAATGGCCATACTGTGCTGATGAAGTTCGATCAAGAGGGTAAACTAATTAAGGAGGAAGCGATCCATACCCCGGTGTCTAAAGTTATCAACGTGCTGTCAGCAGTACATGAGGATGATCTTTATTTGCTGGTTGAGTCACCAAATAAACAGGACAAGCTCACGTTATATGCCCTCAAAGACTCGCTTCAAGTGACAAGACAACTGCAATTAACGAAGGCTCCAACGTTTGTTACAACGTGTTTTGAAGTGAGCTCGAAGTTGATATTCATGGGCTTCCGTCTAAGTTCATTGGGCATTTACGACTTGGAAACGGGTGAGGAGCTCAAACTTATCAAGAAGCTATCTCTCAGTGATACCATCACTTCCATAAGACTGCTACAAGAGACCGGAGACGATGTCTTATTGGCCATCACGAACAGAGATGGTCTCTATGTCTATTTGAGATACAACAAGAGTTCTAATGAACATGTGTTCGTGCACACGAACAACATCAGAAAGGGATTTCTTGAAGGCTCTTTGACCGATGTCGACAGTGACGACTTCATCGTATATGGGTTCAAATCGAGCTGGTTCTACATATACAACGAATCTCGTGATTTCGAAGTTGCGTATGAGAACTGCGGTGGTGCTCATCGCATCTGGAAGCTGTTCCATGACAGCAACGGTTATAAGTTCGTGTACGTACGTGATGGTTCGTTGCACATACGCAATGTTCCAAAGAGTCCTCTGCCATTGGTCCTGAGTGAGGGAACCCATGGCCGGGAGATTAGAGACATTGCCATCAGACAAGGCTGTGAAAAGCTGCTGAACATCACCGGTGCCGAGGACACCACCATGAAACTGAGTACAATGGATAAGACCACAGGCCAATTGAGAAACTACTGGACCGTCAGAAAGCACACATCTGGTTTACAGAAGGTTAAGTTCTTGAGCGAAGACTTGGTGGCATCGAGCTCTGCGAGGGAAGAGTTCTTCGTGTGGAGAATTGACGAGCAGTTTAAATATCCATTGATTGCGCTTATTGGAACGTTACAACCGTCATCAACAAATCCTGACCTGAGAATCATGGACTTCAGTCATAAGTTTGTCTATGAAGACGGCTCTGTTGTGGGTGTTTTCTTCGTGAACGTGTACTCCGACTCCACAATCAAGTCATTCTACTTCAACCTCTCTACAAACCAGTTCACGCCTGTGTTCTCTGGCCGTTATAAGACGTCGTGTCTGTGGGATGTCCGAATCCTGTTCCATGATGATAGCATCTACATCCTCGTTGGTGGAACAGATGGCCACTTGTCTGTGTGGAACGTTACACAGCAGGTTCCATTCACTCTTGCTGACGGACAATTACAATTACAGCAACTTGGAGAGACAAAGACCCTAAGCAAGTGGGACTGCCTTGTTCAGGTCCACCAAAATGGTATCAAAGATTTAGAGGTTTTCCCGGACGAGCAGGGCTTCTCAGTCGTCACAGCTGGTGACGATAATGGCCTGGGCCTTGTGAAGTTCATACTCAGCGACAGTGTTGTAGGCAAAGTAGTTGCATTTGAAGCATCTGCTGCGTCCTCTACAGTCACATCGCTATCTAAGATCTCCGGCAAGAGAGTCGCTGCGATCTCAGTCGATCAGACCTCGAGACTATGGAGCATTGACGGTGATAAACTTGAGCTGTGTGATAGCTTGTACACCACAGTTGCAGATACTGGTTCATCTGATGCTACAACCATTGGTGGGAAGAACTACTTGCTTGTTGGAGGAATCGGGCTGTCGCTCTGGGAGGTTGTCTGATACATATAAGATACTGCAATACATAGATACTGCACTACATAGATACGATCTGCGCTTACTGTGCCATTTGGGGTAACATTGTATGTATATTGTCGTTGTTTTGGCTTGTTCTATGGTGTCTTATGTACATGAGTGGAAACCACCTCTCCAACAGTTTCCTCCACTTGCTTCCCTCCACTTGCTTCCCTCCCAGCACAGGAGAAGCGTATATCAACTCGTCTAACCTTGGCGTTGTTTGTGCTTCTTGTTGGTCTTGCAATACACATAGACCTTGCCTTTTCTTCTAACGACATAACAGTCATTGCATAGCTTCTTAACAGAGGTTCTCACCTTGAATCCACGGGCAAGCGTTGGCTGTATAATGCCAAAGGTTTGGCCGTACAGCTGTTTTGTGAAAGGGCTGCTCGACGAGCAGCGTGAGGTGAACGCACTGATGGTTCTGAAGAACGAGCTCATTGTTTGTTTGATCCACAGTGACACCTACGGGCTCTCTGCGATGTTGGTGTAGTTGTTGAGTGGATGATTGTCCGGTGGAGCGAAAATTTGTGTGCGCGGGCGGGTTTACACCCGGACACCTAGTCACCCGGACATCTGATAACCCGGACACCGCTTCGCGAACCTGTTTGTTTGTTTTGGTTCTTCTTCGTTTCCATCACCGTCTATCAACAAAGGAGCCTACAGCCACTTTCTAAGAGCCTCAATGGCAAGTTCAGGGTCTCTAAACGGATGGAGAGAGGTGAGTTGCCACTGTAGAGCCATGCTCTCTTTACTCTGCCCAGCTCAAGCTACTGACCGCCACGTTTTAGATCTCAAGGGTCCCAGCAACAAGCCCAGCTAGGGACAAGACATCAAAGGCTAAGGCTACATGCTCAGCGTTTGACGAGCAATGCGATTTGGTATGGGTTGGTGACTCCTTTGGATACATTCGCTCGTTTGAAGGACCTCAGCTGTCAAACTATACCAAATTCAAGGCGCATTTATCGCCCGTGAAGCACCTAATATCACACCATAAGGGCATCATCTCGACGGATGGTATCTCTCTGAGACTGACGAGCAGAAGAGGGTTGGTGGTATTCGACATTGACAGCTCGACAAATCCAGAGCTCACAAGCATCTCTAGCATCTCGCTTGTGGGCACAAATGAGCTTTTGGTGTCAACAGATAGAGCATTGTTGAGGTTTGACGTTGTCAAAACACAGGTCATCAAAACCATCCCGTACAATAAAGAGGTTTCACTGATGGCTTCAAATAAGAGATATGCAGCGTTGGCCTCGAGTAATGACAATGTGGATATCTACGAGGTCAAAAGTGAAACCGTGGTGGCACACTTCCAGGTGAACTTCTCCAAGATCACAGGATTAGACCTCAAAGAACAGACCCTCGTGGTTTGTGGAACAACTGACCGTCACGGAGTTGCCAGATTCAACACATGGGTCTCGGTGTATGATCTACGAACCCAGGCACCACTGAACCCTATAACTTCACCAGATGGCGCTGAGTTTGTCAGGTTGCATCCAAGATTACCCAGTGTGGCTCTCATAGCGTCGCCTCAAGGACTGGTGCAATCTGTGAACATGTTTGATCCAGACAGCTCGACATATTTCCCTGTACAAGCAGACTCATTGAAATCGTTTGAACTGTCGTCAACAGGAGATTTCCTCTGTATGGTTGATAACGCGTCAATCTTACACCTGTTTTGTCTGGACCCAGACCATTCGGCAATGTCCAAGAGGGTGGCCATTGAACATCCTGATGTTGTAAAACCACATCCATTCGTTTCAGTGAACGATTCGGAGTTTTCGTTGAATCAGATTGGAATGCCTTACTACAGGGAAACCTTGCTTTCAGCTTGGCCGTCCCATATTTCGTTTAGAAGCCCGGGAACCTTCTCAAGACCAATTGACATGTCACTATTGAGAAACGCTATCAACGAAAACGGTCTAATATCTGCACCATACAGCAAGGAGAAGTACGGCTCAAGGAACGAAATGAAACCATATGTCTCGATGTCTCAGTCGAATGAACCAGCAAGAAAGTTCTTGAGTAATAAGAAGAATAATGTTAAGGCTTCAGGAAAGACCTCGAAGGTGTTCCAATACATCTCGTCATCACCGAACACGATTCCAAACGCTTTCAAAAAGATGGAAATCTCGTACAGTAAGTTTGGTATCGACGACTTTGACTTTGACTTTTACAACAAAACGCAGTTTTCTGGTCTTGAATCTCACGTTGATAATTCTTATACGAATTCACTCTTACAGCTTTACAGATTTGTTCCAGAGTTTTTCAACTTCATCATTAAGAACTTGGCTGTTGAGAACTTGAACGAGGATTCCTTGTTGACTGAATTAGGGTACCTGTACGATATGCTTGCTAAAGCACATGGAAAACACTACAGGCCAACAAATTTCCAACACACCTTATCAAATAACGAATATGCACGCAAGTTCGATCTGATTAAAACAGATGATATAAGTCCACAAGATACAGATCTTGCCAGAAGGCTTAAGGATTTCAACAAGTTTCTTTTGCACAAACTAGCTGATGATGAGAAACAAGTGAATGTTGGGTCTGCAAGACTTGACGTATTTCCTCAGCTCCTTGGTATTAGAACCGAAGTTATCGAAAGATGGATATATTCTAACAATACAAACATCGATCACAGATGTATATTCACGTTGGACGTTAGATCTCCACTTGCAAACAACGCAACTTCAGTGCTGAGTGATAATGGAAATGTCTCAATCATTCACTACATACAATCTTCCATGAACAGAGTCTCTCGAGCTGCTGACGATCTTCCTGGTGGTTATCAAGATATCAAGGATACATCGACAACAGTTGTTGCCCTTCCTCCAGTATTGTCTTGTAACCTTGATCTACTGGAGGTTGATAAAGTCCAGATTAGAAATAATAAAGATTGGTTTAAGGATAGGTTTAATGCATTCAAAAATGGGTCAGGCTACGTATTGACAGAACAGCAGCCTGGATCAGAGGACTTGGACTTTTGCAAACAATACGAAGTGGTTGGCTTTGTCTGTGAAATTGCTGGTGAGAGAGATAATGATAGTCATTTGGTTACATTTGTTAAAATTCCGAACGAGGAGACCGGTACGACCGACTGGCATCTCTTTAACGACTTCCTGGTCATGCCGATACCAGAGGAGGAAGTCTTCAACATGTCATACTGGTGGAAAACACCACTGACCATTGTCTATAAAAGAGTCACTTCGGTGGCAGTTCCATTCCAATATGACTGTTGGAAGAACGATTTGAATGACCAAATCCTCTATCGTGATCATTTTGCATCTGCCATTAGGGAATCAAGACGTCTCGAATACAAGCTGTTAACACGGGAAGAGGCCCCCCATCCTGGGTCATTAATAGCTATTGATGCTGAATTTGTTATCCTTGAAAACGAACAATATGAGATTGGGAATAGTGGTATAAGATCATTACTCAAACCCAAGAAGTCAGCTTTGGCTCGTGTTTCTGTGCTGAGGGGGGACGACGGCGAGAACTATGGTGTTCCGTTTATTGATGATTATGTTGCTGTCAATGAACCTATTACAGACTACCTGACATCCTTCAGTGGTATCGAGCCTGGCGACTTGGATCCATCTACAAGTACGAGAATGCTCGTGACAAGACAGACTGTCTATAGGAAACTCTGGCTTCTATTAAACCTTGGCTGTGTATTTGTCGGACATGGTTTGATAATGGATTTCAGGACAATCAACATATGCGTTCCCAAAGAACAGGTTCGTGATACTGCGGTGTTCTTTCACAAGGGTCAAAGAATTCTTTCCTTGCGGTTCTTAGCATACATTCTGCTAAATGTCAAGGTGCAATTGGGTAATCATGACTCCATCGAGGATGCTTATACTGCGTTGTTGATCTACAAGAAGTATCTGGAGTTACAAAGAAGTGGTCAATTCGAGGAGACCTTGGATCGAATCTTCCATGAAGGACAAGCGTTGAAGTTCAAACCTCCTGGAGAAGACTGAATATTCAATGGAGGATTAGCATACGTCGTTAGAGACTATACCATGGTGACTATACTGAACACAATGTCTCGTGGGGAATGTGAACAACAGAAATAAAAGAAAGGATGTCTCAGAGATGATCAAATCTTCCTCTTTCATCCCAACCAGTTGCAACAGTGCTTCTGAGTCTCTCCCTTCAACTTGTAACAACCAATTGGTTGTCATGGTTTACATCCATGGCTCTGACCTGTGCGAACTCTCCTTCACAGCTTCAAACTACATGATCTACGAGAATATAAAAGACTATTCAAAGTTGAAATCTCCTGATTACACATGTACTCACTGATATATACCTGGTACTCTATAACGGCAATTCACCTCTAAATTCTGAGGATTCTAAGGTTGAAGATGGTGTCGTTAATGGATTGTTCCTCTCTATCAACAACAACCTCTTTGTCAGAGTCTGAGAATGGCTCTAGTGAACCTCTCAATGTCTTATCGAGAAGATCCTTGTGTGTAGAGACAACTTGCTCGAAATCGATGGTGTCCTTAACCAACTCATACTGCACAATGACATCGTCTGTAGCTTCCAGTCCACCCTTCTTTCTCAATCTCTGGATACGGTTAAGCAGCTCACGTGCCAGACCCTCAGTCTTGAGCTCTGGGTAGATGTTGATGTCCAGGATGATCAACACGTCCTGGTCGGTTCTAACCTCCTGGCCCTCAGTGGACTTGCCCTCTGGAAGACCTCTTTGGATCGTCAAGTCTTCAGAGACAAGCTCGATTCCGGCAACAGTGACCTTACCAGAAGAGGCAAAGGCTTCAACCTCTGCGGATGTGAGAAGCGGAAGAGCATCCTTGACCTTTTTGGCATCCTTCTTCAGTTTCTTTCCCAGCACTGGCCAGTCCGCAACGGCCTTATACTCCACACCGTACTTCTTCTCGTCAGAGGTGATGACTAGGTCACGGACGTTGAGTTCCTCGATGATGTAAGACTTGAGGGCTTCGATATCGTTCAGGTATTCCTGGTCGCCATGCAAGATGACCATCTGCTTCAATGGTGTCTTCAGAGAGATCATCTTCTTCTCACGGATGTTTCTACCAAGCTCGATAACTGTCTGCATACGCTTGATTGCGGTCTCGATCTTCTCATCGAACAGCTCTTCACGAACAGTTGGGTACGACAAGAAGTGGACAGATCTTACATCCTTGGTGTACTTGGCTAGTTCATCTTCGGAGTACAAGGCCCTCAGTCTTTGGTAGATGGTGTCGGACAAGAATGGTGTGAATGGAGCCATGGCACGAGACATCACGAAGAGAGCCTCGGTCAGTGTGTTCAAGGACTTCTTGGTGTCGTCGAGAGAAACCTCGCCCTTGAGACGACGACGATTGAATCTGATGTACCAGTTCGTCAGCTCGTCAATGAAGTTCAGTAGTCTTGGAACGACAGTGTACAGTCTGTACTCCTCCATCTCTTGATGAATGAACTTGATCAACGACTGCAAGGAGGCCAAGATCCACTTATCCATCACGTTGTCGGAGGTCACGCTGGCACTGTACTGGAATTCAATGCCTTCGTTCTTCTTCAGAAGAGCAACAGAGCCCTCCAAGAACTTGACACAGTTCCACCATGGCAACAACACCTTGGAAACAACCTCCTTCACACCTTCTTCCTTGAACTTCAAGGTCTCAGCACGCAACACTGGAGAGTTGATCAGATACAGTCTCAGGGCATCAGCACCGTACTTCTCCAGAACGATGGTAGGGTCCGGGTAGTTCTTGAGACGCTTGGACATCTTCTTACCATCAGCAGCCAGCACAATACCGGACACAATGACGTTCTTGTAAGGAGCCGTGTTGAACAAGTGGGTACCCAGGACAGTCAGAGTATAGAACCAGCCTCTGGTCTGGTCCAAACCTTCCGAAATGAAGTTTGCTGGGAATCTCTCCTTGAACTTCTTCTCGTTCTCGAATGGATAGTGTTGAGAGGCGTATGGCATCGAGCCGGACTCGAACCAACAGTCAAACACCTCCTCCACTCTTCTCAAGACACCCTTACCCTTCTGCGATGGGATGGTGATGTCGTCAATCTTGTCTCTGTGCAAGTCGGTGATGTCGTCTCTGCCGGAGAGCTTCTTCAGCTCCTCAATGGAGCCGACACAGACAACCTCCTCAAAGTCCTCAGAGACCCACAATGGGATAGGCGTACCCCAGTAACGGTTTCTCGAGACATTCCAGTCACGGGCATTGGCAATCCAGTTGGAGAATCTCTTCTCCTTGATGTTGCTTGGAACCCATCTCGTCTTGTCAACGTTCTCCAGCATGTCTGGGATGATGTCCTTGATACGAACAAACCACGCTGGAACCGTTCTATAAAGCAACGGAGTGTCTGATCTCCAGCAGAACGGATACGAGTGTCTGATCTGAGAGTTCAGCAACAGCTTGCCTTGCTCAGTCAGGTGCTTGATGATCTTGGAGTCGGCGTCCTTCACGTACACACCTTCCCACAGGGTGACATCCTTGGTGAAGCAACCGTTGTCGTCCACTGGGTTTGGTGGTAGGAAGTCCTCTGTGATCACACCGGCAGCAGTTGCGGCGATGAAATCCTCTTCACCAAAGGCTGGGGCCTGGTGAACAATACCGGAACCAGAATCAGACGAGACGTAATCGGCGGCGATCACCTTGAAACCTCTGTCCTTGAACTTATCATAGAAGAAGTCGAACAAAGGCTCGTACTTCAACCCGACAAGCTTCTTACCTGGGAATCTGTCGACAACTTTGAACTTCTCGTTCTGTGGCTTCTTGTACAACACCTTGATCAATGGCTCCATCAAGATGTAGTTCTTGCCAGTCTTTTCGTCCAAGATCTTGACGTACTCAAGATCAGGGTGGACCGCCAGGGCGATGTTGGAAGGCAATGTCCATGGGGTGGTGGTCCACGCGACCAAGATGGTGTTTGGATCATCTTTCAAAGGGAACGCGATGGTCACGGCAGGATCAGCAACTTCCTTATAGTTCTGCTGGGCCTCAAAGTTGGCCAGAGGAGTGGTCAAGCCGGTGGAGTAAGGCATGACCCTAACACCTCTGTAGACTTGGTTCTTGTCGAAGAGCTGCTTGAACACCCACCAGACGGACTCCATGAACTCCGGGTACAGAGTCTTGTAGTCGTTGTCGAAGTCGATCCAGCGCCCCAGACGGCCAATGGTCTTACGCCACTCATCGGCGTATCTCATCACAATGGCCCTACACTCGGCGTTGTACTTGTCGATTCCCATCGCCATAACGTCCTGCTTACCGGTGATACCAAGCTTCTTGTCAATCTCGTGCTCCACTGGCACACCGTGGGTATCCCAGCCGAATCTTCTCTCGACATGGAACCCACACATGGTGGAGTAACGTGGCACGATGTCCTTGATGGTGGATGCGAGGATATGGCCGTAGTGAGGCGTACCTGTGGCGAATGGTGGTCCATCAAAGAAGGCAAACTCTGGTTTGCCCTCTGTAAGTTCCATGGAACGGTGGAAGGCGTCAATGTCCTCCCACATGGCCTGGATCTTCTCCTCCTCTCTTGGGAAGGAGAATGGTGCTGCTTGTTCCTCGGACATTCTTTCGTTAGTCCTTTTTTTGTCCTTGTCCAAAGAAAGAGAGAGACTGTTCTATGTGTTCGATGACTCTTTTTTCTGTTGACGGTTTTTTTTTTCATCGCCAACCTGCTGACTCAACTCTCAACATCTTACCCGTTAGAGTTCCGGGACTTTTCACCCTCGGTCGCTTCATGCATGGGACTTGGACTGCATTACGCTAATGCTTCACTTTGGACAAAATAATTTTGACATTTGCGATGCGTCTATACGATGATGTCAAGAGAGACTAACGAGACTTGAGCCATGTCCAGACCACTACGCACAACGATAGTCATGGACAACATTCCATCGGACTGGATCATCGGAATAGATTTCAACTTCTTCAACTCCAACAGTATCCTTAGGGGTATAAAGCTCATTGGTCAAGGCCTACACGTTGTGCACTGGGCCCAGGACAGTTCCAGTATAAGGTCTGGTTACTACTTCAACGCTCAAGAGGGCGACGTTCTGGTGATGTACTGGGACACTGCTAACGAGACCATGCTTATAGGGGATGAGGTTGGTGAAGTGAACATCAAGAGGCACATGGAGTCGTTATCACAGTACTACCCATATATGGTTGGCTACCCCAACGGTGTGTCGCAGTGGTTGAGACAGGTAAGGCACCTCAAGTGGAATCAGGTGGAGTACATCTTACCCCATGGACGAATTGATAGTGTGGTGACGTCGACAGACGAGAACAACTTACTTCTGAAGACATTGCAGTCGTATTCGAAGAACAAGAACATCTCAAACGACCCTATCGTCAACTCCATCATTGACCAAAGCGATGTCGAGCTCAAGTTCACCCTCATTGATCTCAGTAGCCAAATAAGGCCGAACAGCTCACCGGAGCAGAAGACCAAAGATTCACTGGACTCGTCGTGGTTTGTGAGGACTCTGCTGGTCACTGGGTTTAACAACAACGAGGATTCCCTAATGGGAGAATTCGAGCTGGCGTACGTGAATATGGTGATCTTCGCCAATTACAGCTGTTCTGTCCAGTGGCTGAAGATTATGAAAGTGATGTTGAATTGCAAGGAGTTGGTCTCGGAAAGAGTGTCCTTGTTTGACAAGTTTGTATCCCAGTTGTACGCCATGTTCGAACAGTTCCCAGAGGAGTACTTTACTGAATTCGTCGATGACTCCTTTCTAGAGACTAACGTCGGTGAGTTTGACTTCACTGTGAAGGAGCTGGGGCTACACGCACTCGTGAGGAAAGTAATAGACCTGAAGCAACTCCTCTCCCTGAGGTTTGGAGTGGTAATCCAAGGACTCGTGGAAGATGACGAGGACGGCCCTGTTATCGTTGATCTATGAATGGTTGATTCTCATAGTTAGCCATGGCATCTCTTTCTTTGTATATTAGTAGTCATGAATCTATGTACAAGAAGCCCTGGTATCTCTTTCTTTATATATTACTGGTCATAAATCTATGTACAAGAAGTCCTGGTCTCGTCATCGTCATCGTCATATATACACACATCACTCATAGATATTCTCCTTGATTTGGCACTCGACAAAGTCCAAGTCTTGGGCAAAGCCCAGAACCTTGTCGTTTTCCACAACAACTGGTTTGTTCTTCATTTCACTGTATTTAAAGCCCAATGGTAAAGAAACGAACCGGCCACGGTCGTCCTTATCCAGCGTCTTAACGGTGAATGACTTGCTGGTGTCGCTGTTGTTGTGGATCTTTATCCAATAGATGTTATCAAAGAGGATGTCTTCGCTCGTGCCGTTCGCAGGAACCGTCAGCTCGTACTCCACAGGCGTAGTTGGGTTCTGTCTGGAAACTGTCAGCTCCACACCAGATTCTGTGGGTTTCAGATCCCATTGTAATTGCAACAGGGTAAAGCTTGTCTCCGAAGACGTTCTCAATTTTGGAATCGAAGCCAGCAGCTTGTTAAAGCTGTAATGGTAATTGGTGGATGGTGAGATTGGATACATCACTTTGAAGAGCATACGAGCAACGACCAAATCAGAAGAGTTCTTCAGTTGGTCTCTGGTGAACTTCACGGTGATCGTCCCCAGAGCAGAGGAGTTGATCTCGGCTGCCTCTTTCAAGGCCGACGCCTTGGAGTCGACCGTGTGCGTGAACGCTTTGACCTTACTGAAATTCTGTAAGCTTTCATACTTCACGTCCTCGTGTTCCTTGACCCACTTTCTGACAACGTTTCTGAGAGCAACTTCCTCAAAATTGGTATGGTCTTCAACCCATGAGACGTTGTTGTCCTTACAGTACTGGATAATCTCGCTCTTGGTCACGCCCAGGAGTGGTCTCACGGCTTTCAGTTTCTCCGGTGAGACCGTGGGGACTTTGGACACGGGACTCATACCAGCAAGCCCAAAGACCCCGGAGTTCTTCAACAAGCGCAGGATAAACGTCTCAAGTTGGTCATCCAGGTGGTGTCCCAGAAGAATGTGGTGGATCCCCAGTGGCTGGCACAGGTCTTGCAGGGCATTGTACCTTTTCAACCGGGCCATCTCCTCAAACGAATTCCCTTCAAGCTCGTCAAAGTTCAGCTCCTTGGTGAGAAAGTTGTTCTGCAACCCCAGCTTGGTGAGCTCGCTTCTCACCAGTGGGATCTCGGCACGGCTGTTTGGACGTAGGTTGTGGTTTATCATGATTGGATAGATCTCAACGTTGTGGTTCAGTATCCGTTTCGAGTTATGGAGCAGATGTGTGAGACACATTGAGTCCACGCCACCACTGAGGGCGACAGCTATCTTCTGAGGCAGGCCCTGGCGAAAGATCTGAGCCAGTGAAGCGTTGAAGGTTGTTTGTAAGGACATCTGTTGCTAACAGGGTTCTCTGATTGTGCGTGTGATGGGGAGAATGGAAGAGAGCTTTCCCTTACAAAGAGAGTAAAGATCACTCAATTTATATAATCCGGCCAGCGATCCCAAGAGGTTTGTCACAGGATGACAGGTTCGCCACCCATGCACAATCCCTTGTATAAGTTTCTAGTCTTAGCAGAAACCTCTGATATCAGAACGAATGTCTGTATGCCTTTCTCTGGGTTTGATCAGTTGACACAAAAAAGTGGTCCCCCCACCCACGTAAATCGGAAAACGTCTGGTGATTTTTGTTTTGGCCTTGTATGTGTGTGTTGGCGCCTTTGTCAGATATAAGTGCGTGGAGAGATTGGCTGTGATCACCATGTGGCATGTGGCACTCTGACGTGTTCACGGATTGAATATTCACTTGTGTGTGACTAATGTTTTTTTTTTTGATCTAGGTGGTGGTTGAAGAGCGTTGAAACCCCTTTTGGTCGAGGACGCCTTTTGATGATCCTGATGGTTTTTCGCTGAAGACGATTGCACAGACTCGCAGAGCTTTTTGCAGAAATGGCGGGAAATTGCGAGTCTGCGTTTTCAGCGCGTGGGCTACGATGGCACCTGTAGGTCCGGTGCCATATATATGTGCTACATCACCGAATCCCCAATCATCGAGTCCCCAATCATCGAGTCCCCAATCATCGAGTCCCCAAATCCTCAAATCCCAGCCAGATAAAGTGGTACAGTGGTACAAGTAGGAGTACTGGAGGAAAGCCACGGCGACTAGGATCCCAGCTTGGTCTTACGAGCGTCCCTTTCACTGGAACAGGCTCCGCTCTCGTTGCTTTCAGACTGCTTGTAGCAAAGGTTGCAGGCACTTGTCATCCAGGTAGGAAGAGCTAGACAAAGGAAAAGCTGGCATTACCAGGCTAAGTGCTTATAGTCCCAGTGATGCAACTCCTCCCAGCTGATCAAATCGGAGTTTCGGTGATAGCATCAGCAGCCATATACAGGTATAGGTTTCGCAAATGACACACCGGACACCAAAGCTGGCAGATCTCCCTGAACGAAAAGGCCGACGCTTAACCGACTGTATAGCATCAAACGGTTTTGTCTCGGGGACATTGAGCCGTGTGTCTGTTATTCGCAGATGATCGTCCACACGGTGACTACTTCACCCAGACTACTTCACCCAGACTACTTCACCCAGACATCTCCACGTAACCAACACTCTGACTCACACGACCATACTCCGTCAACTCGCGAAAAGCTCTCGGAGATGGCCAAAACGCCATTACCGGCCACAACGCCGATACCGGAGTTTTTGCAGAGGTGCGTCATTCAATGCATCACGCCTTAAACTTCTTCTTTAAGCTGGTTGTATTCTACTCTTTGGTGCCTTTTGGTGCTTCAATTGAGATTTGTGTGGGCAAGTGGGTGGTCATTCTACGCGGAGTCTGAGTCTTCGGACCTTGCTGCGATGTTCTTTGATTTCTCATGTACTTAAACTATAGCCGAAGACCCTTTTTTAAGCTACCCTGTTTTCTTTGCTTTCCACTTCTCTTTCCACTCTTGTTCCCAGCGTTTAGCTCCAACAATGTCGAGTGAAAAGATGACAGTGTCATCGTCTGTTGATCCAGACTGGAAACTCAACGATGAGGTTAACCTCCGCACAGGCTTGAGCAACGACATTGAGAAAAGCTCGCTCAATGAGAAAGAATTCCTGGGCTTGGGTAAATATGACGGGGAAGACATGTTTGCAGAGACCGAGGACGGCCCAGATTATAGAGGTGTCACCACGTTTGGAGCTGCTGTGTTGATTGCAAAGGGTCAACTGGGTTTGGGTGTGTTGGGAATTCCATCAACTTTTGACGTGCTGGGCTTTGTGCCTGGTTTGATCAGTTTGGTTGGCCTGAGTATATTGGTGACCTGGACAGGTGTTGTGATTGGCCAGTTTAGACTTGCACACCCAAAAGTTTACTGTATCGACGATGCCACTGAAATCATGTTCGGTAAGGCTGCACGTGAACTTGTCGGTTGGGGTTATTGGCTCTTCTACACCATGTGTTACGGTGCTGCTTTGATAACTGTCTCCATTGCATTGAACACATTCAGTGATCACGGTTTGTGTACGATGGCCTTCATTGGTATAGCCACCGGTGCCACAACTATACTCACTCTGTTTACCCGTACAATGAAAGTGCTTTCATGGCTGGGATTCATTGCTATCTCTTGTATCTTCTTCGCTATTTGGGTCGTCGCAATCGCTTGTCTTACCCAGTCAACACCTGCTGCTGCAGAGTCCTTAGTTGACCCTGCTAAGAAGGTGATTCAAGTAGTTGCAACACACTCATCGTACAAGAAGATTGCAGCTGCTGTTTCTGTTCAGCTGTTAAGTTTGGCAGGTGGTGCCTCTTTCTTCACAATCCATGCAGAGATGAAAGATCAAACCAAGTACACCAAATCTTTGCTCATGGGACAAGGTTTCATTGTGTTCAACTACATTGCCATTGCATGTATCATGTACGCTAAAGTCGGTCAGTACATCGCCTCTCCTGCCCTCGGATCAGCAGGTAGAACTTTCCAAATCATCAGTTATGGTATTGCATTCCCAGGTTTGATGTTTTCTTGTTTCTTCTTAGCACATCTTGCTGCAAAATATGCCCTGGTTCGTATCCTAAGAGGAACAGAGCATTTACAGAAAAACTCAAAGACACATTGGATAACATGGACGGCAATGGTTGCAATTGTTATTGCTGTTGGATTCGTCATTGCAGGTGCAATCCCATTCTTTGGTGATCTTCTGGGTCTGATTGGTGCTTTACTCGGAAGTATCTTTGCACTCATTGCACCGGGATTCATGTGCCTTTACGATATGAACTACAAGTTTGAAGGTAAGGTTCCAAGAGGTTATACTTGGATCTACAAGAACAATGGTTCGTGGACAAAGAACTTTTGGACAAAATTGGAGACGTTATTGTCCTTCTTCTGCATTGCCAGCGGAATCTACATTCTTTTTACCGGTGTCTACGGTTCAATTGCATCTATTGCAGACCTGTACTCTTCAGGTGCTGTTTCCGGTGCCTTCTCATGTGCTGACAACTCGTGATTTGTGTTTTCTCAGGTATACATCAGATACCTTTGTATATTGCTTAATATTCCATGCATAGCGTACTCTGAGTGCGTTTTTAATTACAATTCATCCCCATTCAAACGGTGTAGTTGTGACGATATTGGACATGATGACCAATCGATGGACGATCTATCGATTGCAATTGGCATCATGGCAAGTTTTTGAACCTATCGCATACAGTTTAAGCCTAATCGGGGTATAACCAAGCACACCACTACGCAGATGAGAACAGCACAGCACATGTAGTGGCATGCTCAACCCAATACAACGATCTCTAGAGATGACGTATATAAATGCTTTGTCCGCTCATCAAAATGTGCCATTTTGAGCCCCTTAGAATGTCCATGAGACAGCAAAATGGTAGTCACTTCTTTAGAGGAGCATCAACGCACTCCATGTGTGTGTGTCTATTGCGATGCGACAAGACACATGATGATGTGCTCTTCGGGGCTCAGCTTAATGTTTCCAGTTATAGCGACGCCACAGTATATCTTTCACTAACAGTAGGATGTATAGTGTTCCATTCGCACGGTGTGGGTAGTAGAAGAGTTGATATGATAATGGCAATAAGAATAATCTTAATAACAATATAATTCAGAAATATAAGAGATGAGGGTTAAGTTCTAGGAACTTTACAGAGAAGCAATACAATGGTTCAAGGAACCCCTTTTAAACAGTTGTATAGAAGCACTCAAATCTTGAGGATTCGTGCTTCATGATGTTTTCACATCCCAGAAAGGATGTGATAGGTGTAAAGTGTTATAGTAAATCACAGCTGATATAATTCAGTGATAAAACCGGAAATCGAGTCCGAAGGTCGAATATCACAGTAAAGTGGTAAAGACACAGCTGCGTGAACGACGCGTGGTGAGCGGATGATCGATCACTGGGCCCATGATGAGGAAAACGTCTTGTCCCTTCCGGACTACATGGTGGACAATACGAGCGAGATAAGGAGTTTGTCAAATGTCCGTTTGTACGCTTTGTGAAATTTTCCCCGTGGCAAGGACTTGAATTGTCCATATCGGACATTTTTCCGACCACGGATCAGTTTTGCTGTCATTTTGCTGTGTCTTTTTCGTGCCCAGACAGCAATTTCACATTTGGCGCAAAAGTCTACGAAAGGGTACCTTTTTGGGACAACAGCTGGAACCTTTACTGGGGAAAGCTTCATAACAAGGCATATGCGACTGGTGAATCAAGGCTGCAATACAAGCGACCATGAGATGTGAAGTGTGCAACACAAATCAACCGCAGCAGATGTACTGTCCTTCATGTGTCAACTTCCAACTGTTGAAGACGAGGTTGAAATACCTCGATGTGCTCAGTTCATTAGATCAGCTTCGAGACAATGTTGATTCGTGTATCAAGCACTGTATCAAAGGTGCAAACTATTCTTTTGTTGAGAATGTCATGAAGGGTAAGCACCATACTGATAATATTGATCCATCTCTGGAAAATGGTGTCGTTGCACTGAGCTCGCAGCTGTTGACCATCGATGCCAGAATCTTGAAGAGGAGGAATGGCAAATTGTCGAGAGATGTTGAATCCTTCAAATCCAAGAATAAAGAGTTGAAACACAGGATTCATAGGCTTAGAGAGATGCTCCAACGGCGTAAACATGGTGTTGAGCCCAAGAATACAGGTCTGGAGAAGGAAATCCGGGAGTCCACGAGGTTCAAGCAGGAGGATAATCTCCATTTGACTAAACAGATAAACAACTCCAAGTCGCTGCTATTTCAAGAGCTGATAAACATTTATGTCATCAAGAGAAGGAGAGTGACTGGGACGAACCAGACGGTATTTATGATCTTCTTCATGCCGATAATCTCCTGTTCATCTCTGGTTGACTATAACCATGAAATGGTCTACTGCAGTTTGGCACAGGTTGCGAAATTTGTCAAACAATGCTCAAAAGTGCTGATGTGTCTCCTCCCCTATGATATTGATATAGGGATCGATACCCGGGTTCAGGGGAACAGAATCAACATGGATAAGCCGATATGGCTATTGGACAACTTACAGCTAAGAGAGTTGATCAGGGCATACGCCATGCTGATAGTGGACGTGTGTACTCTCCTCGGTGAGTTACATCTCACAGATGATATTCGGAGTTATAGGGACCTACTACGGCTCGACGGCCTGGTCTACAAGCTCGCCAACAACGGGTTTACCCTCGATGAGCTGAAGACCCCAGGCAAGCCCCACGCCAAACCGTTCAAGACAGACGAGCCAATCGACCTCGAAATAGTCAACACTCTGTGCTATGAAACGGTCCTGCACCGCATCAGGAACAAGGACAACGAATGGCACGTTGTCAAGAAGGAATACCTAGAGAAATAAACGGCTCCTGCCAAATCGCAACCTCCATTGTATACTCTCTCGCTTCAAATAAAGTCCGATACCCCCACTAACTCCGAATCCCGCACGACGGTTACCCTGTCTGCTTATGTAATCTGCCATCTCCCCTACGGCAAAACAAACCCGCCCTGCTGCCTCTTTTTTTTGCCGGCCACTCTGCGTGTGCTGCCGGCCCCCCTTCCATCGACTAATTTTGCTTGAAACCCCCTTTTGAACTTTTATCAGTACGCCAGTTGTCTGCTAAGGAGCATCAAAACAAGGGAGAATGAGCGTTTCTGATAAGGAATTGTTCGAACTAAACAAGAAGGCCGTGACTGAAGGCTTCAAGATCAAGCCGAGACTGAACTATAACACCGTTGGCGGTGTTAATGGACCACTTGTCATCTTGGAGAATGTCAAGTTCCCACGTTATAATGAGATTGTGAACTTGACGCTGCCAGACGGGTCTGTCAGGGCAGGACAGGTGCTTGAAGTGCGTGGCGACCGTGCTGTGGTCCAGGTGTTCGAGGGTACCTCTGGAATTGATGTCAAGAAGACGCGTGTCGAGTTCACCGGGCAGAACTTGAAGATCCCTGTTTCTGAAGATACGCTTGGTCGTATCTTTGACGGTTCTGGTAGACCAATTGACAACGGCCCAAAGGTGTTTGCCGAGGACTACTTGGACATCAACGGGTCTCCTATCAACCCATACGCCAGAATCTACCCGGAGGAGATGATTTCGACAGGTATCTCGGCCATTGACACAATGAACTCCATTGCCAGAGGCCAAAAGATTCCAATCTTCAGTGCGTCTGGTTTGCCACACAACGAAATTGCAGCTCAAATCTGTAGACAAGCCGGTTTGGTGAGACCTACAAAGGATGTCCATGATGGTCACGAGGAGAATTTCTCCATTGTGTTCGCCGCTATGGGTGTCAACTTGGAAACTTCCCGTTTTTTCAAGCAGGATTTCGAGGAGAACGGATCCCTGGAGAGAACATCGTTGTTCCTTAACCTGGCCAACGATCCAACAATTGAGCGTATCATTACTCCAAGACTGGCGTTGACCACTGCTGAGTACCTTGCGTACCAAACTGAACGTCACGTCTTGACCATCTTGACCGATATGTCTTCCTACGCCGACGCCTTGAGAGAAGTCTCTGCTGCAAGAGAAGAAGTCCCAGGTAGAAGAGGTTATCCAGGTTACATGTACACAGATTTGTCCACCATTTATGAAAGAGCAGGTCGTGTCGAAGGCCGTAACGGTTCCATCACACAAATTCCAATCTTGACGATGCCAAACGATGATATCACACATCCAATTCCAGATTTGACAGGTTATATCACGGAGGGTCAAATCTCAGTCGATAGACAATTGCACAACAGAGGTATCTATCCACCAATCAACGTTTTGCCATCCTTGTCGCGTCTTATGAAGTCTGCCATTGGTGAAGGTATGACCAGAAAGGACCACGGTGATGTCTCTAACCAGCTTTATGCCAAATATGCCATTGGTAGAGACGCTGCTGCCATGAAGGCCGTTGTCGGTGAGGAGGCCTTGTCGACGGAGGACAAGCTGTCGTTGGAGTTCTTGGAGAAGTTTGAGAAGACCTTCATCTCCCAGGGTGCCTACGAGAACAGAACCGTGTTTGAGTCCTTGGACCAGGCCTGGTCATTATTGAGAATCTATCCAAAGGAGATGTTGAACAGAATCTCGCCAAAGATCCTGAACGAGTTCTACGACCGTTCCAGAGGTAACGAGGAGGCTAAGCAAGATGAGGCCGAGCTCGACAGAGCCGAGGACAACTTGATTGATGCTTAATTAACTAGAGAAGTGTTTATAATAAAAGGTTGAATGTCCTTAATTCTTCTCTTTGAAGCCCGTGCGTATCCAGGTAGATCTTTAGGTTGTGTCGAGACATTAAAACGACCAGACATTATCGGGGATGTCCAATGAAGGCAATCACAGACATCTTCCGCTCCGCGGTGGAGTTGTATCTGAAACGGGACATGTAGTTAAAGCAACTCTGCGTTATCAAAGTTGTCAATTGTTGTCCCCAAGGGACGTCACAGCAACGCCAAAGCCAATACCACAAAGAGATCTGTCCCCGATTGCGTTGAAACTGGACCGCAACTTGGCCGCCGGTGGTTAAATGTCTAAATTGCCCTAATTCTTGTCGGGGTTTTGAACCATCGGATGTCCCCGGGGGGCAGGTTGGAGCACAAACAGCAAAACAAAGATCGCAAAACGAAAAAAAGGAAAAAAGAAAGTTTTTTTGACACATTTGGCCACTCCACCGTACCAAACACAACACCGTACGAGGTTTTCTCCGTCGCAGGAACACACACATAGCGCCAGCAATTTGACCTTTCTTCCCTCATCCTTAAACAAGAGAAAAAATAAATATAAGCTCACATATTTGCTCACTTTTTTAAAGTCAACACAGACACACACAGACAAAGACACACAAAAAGGACAAAAACACCAGGACACATCGACATCTGTCTTGCTTTTTTTTGAGAACCTTCAATGAGTAAGAAAACCGAGGACAAACCTCTGAAGTTTGTTCTGCTGGGTGGGCCATGTGTCGGTAAGTCCACTTTCGCAAACAACCTACACTCCCAGTACTTTAGAGAGACTTACTACCCAACACATCGGTCCACGATCCTGTTGTTCCCGTTCCAACCACAGGAGAGCATCTCAAGGGCATTGCTCGATGAAGCTGGTGGCCTGGAGGGTAAAAGGGTGATCTCGAAGGACACTGGCGTGCTGCTCTCGCCAACGATCTTCCAGAGCTACAACAAGCACACCAACGAGGGCAGGAAAAGACGCAACAGCTCCTCCACCAAGTTGAAGAATGGCTACTACTCGTACAAGTACACAGACCTGTCGTCGCCAGACTACGTGCCACCACAGATATCGCCCATCCAGGTGGAGTTGATCGACACGCCCCCGTTCAAGCCAGACTTGGTTGTTCCGTTCCTGGAGGTTTCGCTGTACAGAAACCTGGATGAACAAGACTTGCACAATCTGGCGAATGAGCCTCGCAGACCTGTGTCTACAAACCCATTGCTGGTTGCCAGTGGTGCTAGTGACCTGGATGGTAAGGTGGATGGCTACATCTTTATGTACAGTGCGGTTCCGACGTACAATCCCCCCTCCTATGACGAGGTGCTGGAGGACTCACCTCCAGCGTCCAACGAAGGCGATGATCCTGACCAGATGTTCATTGGAACTGTCAAGAGCAACGAAAGCGACACATCGCTGTCAGTCTTGGAAATCATGAGAGGTGCCCTGCTGGATGCCTGGAAGGAATACCGGAACTACCAGAGCAAATGGAAGAAGGGCAGTGAGGGCGACGTGTACTCGCTTGTCTATGGTATCAAGCAGCTGTGGAAGACCAAGTCTGCCGAGAGTGAGAGGAAGAAGATTGAAGAGCTGAGAAAGATCTCGTCCCACCTGGACGAGATTGACATTGATGCTGGGTCGCCAGAGGCTCCACCTCCAATGCTGGTTGTGTGTACGCATGCCCACCATGAGGGCCGATCTGAGAAGCTGATGCAAGAAGGGAAGGAACTTGCACAGAAGTGGAAGTCTTCGTTCATAATGCTCGATAACGACACAGGGTACAACGTTGAAGAGACGTTGGCGTTGATGATCCGAGAGATCGTTGAGAGGGAGAAGCTACAGAAGAGGAAGAAGTTCGGGCTTGTTTAGGCCAAGGGCTTGTTTAGGCCAAGGGCTTGAATATAATCTTGAGATTGAAGGGACAGATTGGCCCAGCTGGTGTTATCCTCTCAACCCAATTGGGGTCCAAGGCCAGCTCAAAGTTCTTCACAACTTGGTAGACGAAGATCTTGCACTCCAATATGGCAAACCTCTCACCAAGACAGGCTCTTTTGCCCCCATGGAACGTTGGCAACGTTGAGCTGCTCTTGCAATGCTTGTAAAAGTCCATGATGTCTTCCATCTCTGTTCCCCATCGCTCTGGCTTGAAAGAGTCAGCCTCCTGCCACGATGAAGAGTGTGTTGTTGAGTAATTGTTGTAACCAACATACGTACCTTTGGGGATATGGATACAGTCTCCAAGAAGAGTATCCTTCGAAGTACACCTGTTGATGATCTGACCTAATGGTGGAAAGAACCTCAACGTTTCAAACAAGACACTCGTCAAGAAGGGCATCTGTTCAACAAACTCAACGTCATACTGGGAGATCTCTTGACGAACCCTGTGCTGGACCGTGGGGTACTTGGCCAACATGTACAGCAATGATGTAAATAGCAACTGGGGGTTTTCATGCCCTGCAACAAGTATAATCACCAAATTATCAGTCATCTGCTTCGCTGTAATCTTGCCCTGTTTGAAAGCCGTGTAGAGCTGGAAGGCTGCACATTCAACATCAGAATCACCAGATACCTGGGCCTTCATCACTTGTTCTGTGTAGTAACTTCTGAATGATTCAACCTGTCGTCTTGCTTCCAGCCTCGAGGGAATCGGCAGGGAGTCTAAAATGGGGAAGTTCATATAAAGAGGCTTGAATATGTGTGACTTGACCAGCTTCAGCTTCATGTGCAACTCAGACGTACAGTCCAATTCCAGCGTGTGGAAGTCAACACCAAGCATACACATCGAGACGTTAGCCAATGAGAGCCTCTGTAGATAGTCTGAAACGTATAAAGGCACCGAACAGTCTCTCCTGATCAGCTCGACAAACTTCAGAGTGTTGGTATACAGATGCGACTTCACTGGAAACTGAATGGCCTTCTGTATTACACCTCTGTAAAGCTTCCAGTCAGCACCGTGTGCACTGATAACGTTATCACCAGTATACTGGCTCAAGACGGCACGTGGTATCTTCCTATGGTTGCCTGACTTGGCAAACGTCGTCTCGTCCCTGAACACTTGTTGCAAGAGCTCGGGCTTGATCACCAGCACATTCCATCTATTGGCGAAGTAAATCTTCACGGCACCATACTTCTCATACGGCCTGATATACCTCTCGTATATCTGTCTCTGATCCAGCGACGTATAAGTGCCCAGGAATGAGACGTAGAATGGCACTGTTGGTATGTTACGAGGGAAGCTCCAGGGTGGGAACACCACCCTGGCAAGCGCATATGCCAGTAGCAATGAGATGGTGATGGAAATAGCAGTCAACATTGGTTTCCAGCTCTGTGGGCTTGTCGAGAGAGAGTGTGGTCAGAAAGGCATCTGAGTGAATAATATTTGCTCCTGTTTCTTCCAGTGGTTTAAATATCCCACAGATGAGAGCTTTACTGCCCTCCGTGGGTTCGCTAGTCATAAATATGCTCATTTTGGTGCTCGACGCTGATCAATGTCGCTGACGTTCATGGTGCCTGGCTCCGCAGTCTGTCGCCAGAGACCAGAGGAGAAGCCCAGAACTTGTTGTAGCTCCTTGTTGTAGCTCCTTGTCCACATAGCCACAGACTATCAACATCTGGTTGCCATGTTGTCTGCCCGAGCAGTCACTTTCTATAGGCGTTCGTCGTTGTTTCTTGTTGATTATGGTTAAACCTCCATGCAGCATATTGACGCACTGAGCAAATTAAAATCAACACCATTGGGTTGGTATAAAAGAGCACCAATGGACGATTTAACAGTCCCAGGTGTCCTGTTCTGGGCAGATATTGCTGTGAACTACGCTCTGGACGATGTCTTTGAACGATAAATCGCCTGAAACCTCGCTGAATGAGAAGTCAGAGCCTAAGATTGATGAACAAGATGTGCTGCCGGTGCCCAAGCCAGCATACACAGCATTTACATCGAGGAGAAAGTGGTTTGCCATCATCATTGTGAGCATAACGGGGTTCCTAGGGCCGTTGACGGGTAATATCTACATTCCAATCCTACCACAGCTGCAGCAGGTGTTCAATACCTCAGAGACTGCTATCAATGCGACGGTTTCGGTGTTTATGGCCATTATGGCCATTGCACCGCTACTGTGGGCCTCCTGGGCAGATTTCGGTGGTCGAAAGACCCTGTATCTGACGTCGCTGCTGCTGTTCATACTGGCAAACATATTACTCGCAGCAGTTCCTGCGAACATTGGTGCTTTGTTCGTCCTGAGGATTGTTCAGGCTATTGGTGCTTCAAGCGTGATGAGTGTTGGAGCTGGAACTATAGCAGACCTGGTTCCTCCAAAGGAGAGGGCAAGAGCCATCTCGTATTTCATGATGGGGCCTCAGCTGGGCCCCATTCTGGGTCCCATCTTATCTGTCATTGCAAGTGGTGGCCATTGGAGATGGATCTTTGGGTTCCTAGCTATCCTGGGCTCGCTGGTGTACCTGGTGATCTTGTTCTTCCTTCCAGAGACCTTGAGATGCCTTGTGGGCAATGGCTCGAGGGTTCCGATGAATGGATGGTTTGTTCAACCTCATCTGATCCAGCGAAGAATAATCACAGAAGAAGAGGCTTGCAATTATCCGAAACCACCAAAACCAAGCTTAAAGGGCTACTGGAGCATACTGAAGTATAAGCCTGTGCTCTTGTGCTCTTTCAACTCTGGCTTACTCTTTGCAGGCTTCTACGGCATGTCTGTTACCTTTGCTAGAAGGTTACACGATGACTATGGCTTCTCACATCTTGAACAGTCGTTTGCGTACGTGTGTCCAGGTGTGTCGTTGATCACAGGCTCCTTGATTGGTGGAAGACTCTCCGACCACTTGAGGAAAAGGATGAAGCGTAAACATCCTGAACGCTATACCCCGGAGCATCGTTTCTCGTTACAATTGGTTGGTCTAGCCATAAGTATGTGTGGTTTGCTAGGCTACGGATGGTGTATCGACAAGCACGTCCACGTCGTTGCAGTCTTTGTCTTTACCTTTCTCGGAGGGTTCGGCATGACGTGGGTGTTTGTCGTCACCACCACGTACCTGACCGAGTGCTCCTCCGGCCAGGCTGCTACAAACGTTGCCATTGGTAACTTCTTCAGAAACGCCTGTGCAGCTGTGTCGTCCGTCCTGATCAGCGAGTTAACGGATAAGATGGGGTTTGGATGGTGCTTCACAGGGCTAGCACTGCTGGACATAATTGGCTTTGCCATTGTGCTGCTCCTGATGGCGAAGGGCCCTGCGTGGAGGCTCCAGTGGGAGGAAAAGAAGCGAGGCGTGGCCAGCTGAGTCGGTGTAGGGTGAAGTAGTGGGTATGTCTGAACTTTTATCAACATTTATCAACATCCATAAACATTTATCAACATCCATATCCATAAACATCCATAGAGCGTGCTAACGACGCACAACGTATGCACACTTGCTGCAATGTGTCCCTACCACATAGTGTCCCGCATGCTTATGTAATCAGTGTCCGTGTGTCCCCGGAACCAAGTCTTACATCAACGGGACAAATAACCGGGGTGGTGATGGCTACAAAGGAAGCTTCGGGGACAGGTACTTGGCCAGGTCCATTCCCAGCTCTACTATTCGGAATATGAAGGAGAAAGAGGAAAGCAGAGGCTACGATATTGAGAAGCAACCGTGCGATGTGCCGGCGAACAAGCACAAGACGCTGTCGACGGCGTGGATTTGTCTCCACAGGGTGTGCTCATTGGTTGCTGTTGTACAGATGTTGAGGCTGTTGGCCGGGGTTGACCTGTTTATGGCGTCGAGATGGACATCGTCCACTGACGAGACTGGTCCAAAGGAGACGTTTGAGCTGAGGTTGCCCATCCTGTACGATGACTTGGTCTATCAGGAGGTGATTCTGGAGCATTCGTTTGGCAACTCCTGGGGAGTGCCAGCAAAGAAGCGGTTTACTCCTCCAGCAGACAAGAAGTTCAACAGGGTTGTTTTGGAACTGAACACCACTGTTGACGGCATCCAGTACGATAGGCTGGCACATGTCTTCATCAATGACATCCCTGTGTGGCGAACCTCCACGGCTGAGCCTGGCAGAGAGTGGGTCTACACGTCAGTTGAGAAGGACATTTCCAAGTACCTGACATTGTTCCAAGACGGGGACTCCTCTGTGACGTTACAGCTGGATAACCTCATCAGAGGTAAGCTCACGGGAGCCTTCAACACGACGCTGAGTGTGAAGTATTACCTGGATCCAAACTCTGACGATGACATCTTCAACCATATGACAGTGACAAACCACCCGGCCCACAGAGTGACGAAGCTGATCGAGCCACTGCCCAATAGAACACCACTGCTATACTATCCAAATAACCTGCTGTCATTCTCGATTCCAACGGTACCTGAGAACACCACAGCGTTGAAGTTGGCGTTGTTTGTCTCTGGAAATGCCGAGGAGGAATTTTGGTACTCCAACAGCTTGGAGGATGAGAAGAAGTACTTTGCGCCAAACGGACATGAACTATTAGGACACGGTCCAGTGCGTATCATTAACACGTATGTCAATAACAAACTGGTGTCCGTGGCTGCACCGGAACCAGTTATCTTCTCAGGTGGTATCTCTCCTGCGTTGTGGAGGCCTATAATCGGTGTCAACGCCTTGGATGTGAAGGCTTTGGAGATTGACCTTAGTGCAATGATTCCAGAGCTGTGGAAGACAAGTGCTGCCCTGGACATTGTCATCACGAATGGCACTACGAACGGTACAGTGGGTCAGAATTGGATTGCCTCTGCTGCTTTGCTACACTGGGAGTCCGAGGAGATTGAAAGTGCAAAGGGTTCCGTGTTAAACTTCAAGAATTCGACAGCCTTTAGAGAACACCACAGCACGAATGCTCCTCCACGTATGCAACAGTTGGTGTATTCTAATGCGGTTGCGGATATCAAGAGCAACTTCACCTATACTTTGAAGAACGGCTCCGAGATACCTGTGGAGCTACACTGTACCTCGAAGGCTTCATTTGTAGACTCACAGGACTACTACAGATATGGTGATTTACAACTTATAACTGCGACTGTTGCATCAACACATTCCACAAATCTACAAATTGGTGATATCTCTACAAATGTGAAGAACGTGAAGTTTTACCCTTTGGTCATATCTGTTGATACTGAGCCGATTATCCCTCCAAATGTGACCTACGTTGCCAATGTCACCAATGTGTACGGCTCGCGTATTGTCATTGATGACAAAGAAGTGTTTGTGCTGGAATCTTACCAGAATGGTACCTCCAAGTTTACGCTGAGTCCAACAGGGAACTCTGGTAACGGCTCAACTGATCAAACGTTTGCAGCTGTCATGTCAAGCCCATTCGTCACCTTCAGGGAAGATGCTCAGGCGAAGGCTGTCAATGGAACTTTGGTCAAAAGAGATGAAAAGTTCTGGTACGATGACCTCCACCACGACATGGCCCTTGAAGTTGGTATATCACAGGAAGTTATGGCGAAGCTTTCAAGACAAGTTGTCGAGTACCAAAATGCCATTATCCAGAAAGAACAGGACGAGTCGATCACCGTGGATGATGGCTACGTTGCTAAATTCCCGGGATTCCGCCAATTGAGCGGGTAAATGTCCCATTTGTATAGTGAAATCATGATCTTGCGTTTCTTCCGGTATGCCTTCCCAATCGAGTAGTGAAAGCCGAGTGCACCCGAGTCCACAGTACTAGGAAAAAAAGTTATCTATTCCATCAGTTATCGAAGTTGCGACATATACACAGGACATAAATCAAGCAATGATGACCTGGGAATCCTTGTTTTCCTTTGAGATCTTCTTCATCATCCTGAGAGAGTCCTTGGAGATCATTATCATTGTCTCCATCCTGCTGGCGTTTGTGAAGCAGTCGTTAGCAGTCCACCATGCGAAGGACTTTGAAGAGCAAGGCCCACAAAGCGTTTCTGCAGAGATCGATACGTTCCAATCCGCCGGTGTTGAGCCTGACCAGACAGTTGAGCTGTCAGATGCGGGTGACAAGCTCTATAAGCAGTTCAAGCTACAGATATGGGTGGGTAGTCTGCTAGGGCTATTCGTTGCGTTGATCATTGGGGGTGTTTTCATAATGGTGTTTTACATCATAGGCACCGATCTATGGTCGCTGAGCGAGCACTACTACGAGGGTGTCCTGAGTCTGCTGGCCAGTGTGGTCATAAGCATCATGGGCCTCTTCTTCCTACGCTTGTCTAAGCTGAAGGAGAAATTCCGTGTCAAGTTGGCAAACCTACTCATCAATAGGGACAGTGCTTCAGATACACACCAATCCAGGTGGAAACATTTCATGGAGAGGTACTCGCTATTCTTCCTGCCGTTTATCACGTGTATGAGGGAGTCGCTGGAGGCATTTGTCTTTGTAGGAGGTGTCGGCATCTCACAGCCCTTGTCTACAATCCCCTTAAGTGCCACAGTTGCCGTTATAGTTGCCTCGATTGCTGGCTACTACCTCTACAGGTCGTCCAATTCAATGTCTCTGAAGATATTTCTCATCTCTACAACTTGTCTGCTATATCTCATTGCTTCGGGTCTTTTCTCAAAGGGGATTTGGCAATTGGAATTGCAACACTACATCGACCTATGCCATGGTCAGGACATGTCGGAGGTTGGCTCAGGTCCTGGATCGTACGACATCATGAACAGCCTATGGCATGTGAACTGCTGCAACGGAGAGATGGATGGGCTTTGGATGATCCTCTCTGCGATCTTTGGATGGACAAACTCAGCAACCTACGGTTCGGTAATCAGCTATAATCTATACTGGATAGTGATGATTGCAGCTATCCAAGGCTTGCGGTTCCAAGAGAAAGAGGGCTATTTCCCATGGATCCCACTGTCGTTTCAGAAGAAGAAGCTGTTGAAGAAATACCAGCTGATGAAGTCCAGTCAGCAATTACAAGATGATAGTAATTTGATTCCAAACCACCTCCTCAATGCTACGAACTTGACCCCCTTGATTGGCTGAATATATTATATTTGTCTAACATATATAACGGAATCATGTGTAATGGTAGTAAGAATGCAAATGATATCATGAATGTTTTCGTAATAGATTGACGTATGGGAATCTCAATTCATTCTCTTTACCGATGCCTGTTTAGCAGTGGGATGAATACCGTACAGGTTATTCAAAAGTGGACTTTGGAACCCAACTTTTGGAGCTGTGAAGCCGGCTTGAAGGTGTGAAGAAGCGGAATTTTGATGTGCACCGAACCCACCGAATGAGGAGGAGAACGGTAGCCTTGGAGACGTGGCTGTGGGTACAGCGTGGACATGTTGGTTGACTCCGTGGTTTATCGAGGCTGATCTCGAGAGAGGAGACTTAACGTGAGGTTGATAATTGGAGATCTCCTGCTCCAAATTCTTCGCCTCGTTGAACGCTTGCATCAAGTAAGGCAACTCCTCAGAGATCGTACCGTTGGTGACACGGGATGACAACGTTGAGAAGTTCAACGAGGAAGTTGTGGAGCTTAAGGAAGTTCTTCTCGAACGCTGTTGGGATTTGGCATCCTGGTATTCATCTGAGCCTGCGGTGGATGCAGCAGCTGATAAGAGCAGGTTCTGAGTGTCCTGTTCCCATTCGTTGTACTCCTCGTTGATGAAGAAGTTCACACGAACTGATTCGTACATCTTTTCGACATCATTCAAGATCCCCAGGCATTCTTCGATCTGATCCATGTCTTTCTGCTCGACGGCTCTGTCTAGCTGGTCAATCAACACAGAGACAAAATCCTTGTAGGAATGCAGAGTGGACTGGAAGTCTGTGTTGTCTGGAACTATCGGGTTCTCTTCTCTGTCCATGGTATCCACTATTTGGGTCAATTCGTAACTTATTATGAGCAATTTGGCCTTGGTATACGCAATTGACACGTCCTGCACCAGCTCCGTCTTCAAGTGTATTGCCTTGAAGTAGATCTTCAGCAACAGAGTGCCTGGATCTGAGAGGTATTCCTCTATCGATAGAGACTGGATCACTTTGACGAAATGCGAAATCTTGTGAGTGGCTATCGCGTCCAACTCGGCATCCAATTCTAGACACTTTTGCAATGCCTTCTGTGCGATTTTGATGTCAAACTTACGGGCATCCGTGTGCAACTGGAAGTTGAAGTTGACGCTGTGTCTCAGCGTCGCCAATTCCCACGAGTTCAGCTTGTACTGAATTGACAGCAGCTGCTTGTACACCTTCAGCACCGCAGAACACTGCGAAGTGATCTTGGAATAGTACGATGGGAAGGTCGATGTGAGCTGCTGTATCGAGCTACTGCTGAGCTCTGACTGCTCAACAACTGATAACACAGGATCAACGTACATTGCGCTCTTACACAGTGTCCTTTAGGTAGAGATGATACAGGGAGATGATACGAGACGGCAAAACGGAAGGAGGTTGCGCTGATAAGAGTGGTTGAGATGGTGAGAAAGGGTAAAAGGGACATGAAAGTTGTAAATACCGGGAAAAGACGCAGTGAGCAGGGAAGGTTCAGGAAAAATGGCATGTTTATTACGTAAGACGGAAAACAAACAGTTAAATGTCCGGATCGGGTAATTTTCTACATTTGGGTAGATGCTCCGTGGAACGAGAGCCAGGTGTAGTTGTAATAGCTAATGAAGAGACGGTTTGCGAAAGTGGTCCTCTCACCCGAACTTCTCGAGCTCGATCTTTGATTTGATCCTCTTATACCACTGTTCTAAGGTCTCGCCGTGCTGCTGACAGGCGATGATGATCATTGTCATGTTGTCAAAGCCGGCGCCGGTTTGCTGATTAGCAAGCGAGATGCTATGCTCCAGTACTTTTGCAGTTATTGCTGGTAACACCATGCCCAGGACGAGACAATGCCTTATGAAGTGTACGAGGTCACGGGCTGTGAACACATCCCATATGCCGTCGCATGCCAGGACAATGAACTCGTCCTTTATGGAGAGGTGATGAGTTATGCACTCCGGCTCCACGGTGACCTGGGTCTCCTCAGAGTGCAACGTCTGGTTGTCGGCGAGTCGTCTCGACTTGAACGTGAAGTCACCAAACGCCCTTGAGAGTGCCAACACGCCTCCTACCCTGTTGTACGAGACAGAGCCCCCGGCGTCGTTTATCCTTATGAGCTCCCCTATATGTGTTGGCTTGTGGTCGTACGACAGGGATTTGGCAGATCCCTCGTACGAAACCACCAGTCTCGAGTCGCCTGTGTTGATCGAGTACAGCTGTTCGTTATCAATGAGCACACACACAATCGCAGTGGAGCCACATTGGGCTCCGTGGTACTTCAAGTGCTGGTACAGGTGCTGGTCCATCTGTAGAAACGCCGCCTTGATCTTGTGTATCACCAGCCCTTGCGTGGTGCTGAAGTGCAAGCCATAATCCCCATCTGCACTCTCATCGAGCTTTTGCGTCAAATGGCTCAGTATCGTATCAACCAGCTCGTGGCTCAGGTACCTGGATGATTCTGAGCCGCCATGCCCATCAAACACTGCAAATATCTTGACGTCTATCAACCGTAGGCCCCCGTCAACGTCCCAGAAGGGCAAATCTCGCTGAAAGTGTACCGCATGGGCATCCTCCTGTGTAAGCCTATAGCCCTGCATGGACCCTAGCGCATAGCTGAACCTGGGCAGCGTCTTATGCTCAACAGTCTTATCCGTCAAGGGCTGTGATATCAGCTGTCCCATTGTTCCCTTCCCCGATTTAGTTCTCTTCTTGGTTTTTTTCCCCTTTCATACAGCGGCTTTGAGCTCCACATCATCTCTTTGTGGTTTTTTGTTTTTTTTTGCATAACAGAACACCAACGGACTTTTTTTGTTTTCCCGCGCCTGGGCCTGTCGGGCACGGCCGGTCTTGTCGTCTCCCGCTTTGTGCTTTGTGCCCTGTCATGTGGAGCGTGTGATGTCCGGGTGTTTGTTTCTTTGTTACAATTGTCGCGTGCTTAGGTAATCAAAATGAGCGCATTATGTAATCGCGCGGTTGGGCTTACGTAAGCAGGCGAGCGTGAAGGCGGAAGCGAGAAGAAACGCTATGACGTGACTTCACACCCTTAAATCTATATTTGGATGCGTTCTTACAGCTCTTAGAGACAAGAAAGAATGGAAGGACGAGCACAAGGCTTGGTGGAGATCTTTTCGCTTTGTGCGTGGGAAAGTCCAGTCACTGTGGTGGCGTTTTGGGCACGTGACGATGCTTTGTTGGCTTGTCCAGCTGGCCTGTTTGGAGCCTCTGCGCCGCTGAGCAGGTGCTCCTTCGCCACGGTTGGAGATGTGTTTCCCTCAGCAGAGCTGTTTCCCCCGGCAGAGCTGTTTCCCCCGGCAGAGCTGTTTCCCCCGGCAGAGCTGTTTCCCTCAGCAACAAACGCGCCCGCGCGCCTCCCATAGAATCTGCCCTCGCCCTCCCTCCCTCCCTCGCCGCCTGCGCTGTTTTCCCTACCGCAAAGGGCCACCCACACAGGCTTTTGAAGGCGAGAAATTTGTAGCGGAGAGGGAAATTTTTGGAAATTCCAACCTGAAGACGGAATAAGCAAACGAGGTGGACACAAAGAACTAAAACAACACAACAACAAGTTCTATCATCGATTGCAAAGAGAGAAACAACGGGTTCACTGGCTTGTTTGTTTGGAGACTGCTAATTCGTACACAACCTTCGCAGACCTGTTGAGATTTCTAGGAGGCGTGATTGTTTTGTCTGTCCTCGTGTTGTCCCAGTCTTTATTCCTTTGACTCCGTGTTGACGCTTCCGCACAGGCCCACAGAGACAGCAGCACAACGGGGAGCTCACAAGAAGGAGACCCCTATAAGCGATCTACAGCGTTTTCTTACTGAATCACACTCCTTTGGTTGTCCATACCTGGTTCCTTCCCTTTTTTTTGCACTGAATTTGAAGAAGAGTGCCCCCAATGTCGAGATACAATCCACAGCAGCCTTCGTTCACAACGACGACCGGCGGCAAGAACCCGAAGCAGATCCACATTGCGCATAGAAGATCACCAAGTGAGCTGACAAACCTGATGATGGAGCAGATAGCCTTGCAGCGCCAATTGGAGATTGTCCAGCAGCAACAGCATCAACTCTTGGCCCAGCAAACAGCGTCGCCTTCAGGCTCCGGGTTGGGCGCGAGCTCAAGTTCGCACGGTGCGGTTGGCGGTGGTAGTGGCGGTAACTTGCCTGTTCAGATACACAGACGTACCGGTAGTGGTAGTGGTGGTGGTAATGGCATGGGCAGTGTCTCAAACAATACGCATAGACGTGCCCAATCTTCTTCCATGACGGGTGCGATGGGTTCGTTCGCAATGCCATCGTCCACTGTTAACAGCGGCAACTCGGGTTCCAAGGGTAATGCTGCACAGGGCCACTTGAGAAGACACTCGCTGGGTTTGAACGAGGCTAAACGTGCGGCAGCTCAGGTCCAGGCCCAAAGAGCTGGTAAGGAGTTGCCTGGCACCAGCAATAACGACGAGGACCGCTCTTCGATGCCACCTCCTTCTGGGTTCAAGTTCCCACCAACTCTTGTTGAGCCACCATCGATGCATTCGCAACAACAAGGTCATCAGCGGTCAAGATCGATGGCGTCTCCTCAGAAGCAAAACCCATACCAATTCCCACCAAGGGAGAATACCTTGTCACCTTCGCATCATCAGCAGCATGAACGCCGTCAATCTGGTCACTACAGATCAAACTCTAGATCTTTTGACCAACAGTACAACAACAACAGTAACAACAATAGTAACAACAATAGAACCAGGCAAGGAAGAAATCACTCCCAACAGTTTGATAATGGAAAGTTTTTGGCACCACCAGGTTCAAATGGCGGATTTGTACCAGGACACAGGTCTCGTGGATCGCACGGTGGTGGCTCAATCTCCTCAATAAGTGGATTCCAATCACAAAGCGGTCGTAAGTCGTTGTTTGCACCATACTTACCGCAATCGTCAATCCCAGATTTGGTTGCTGATGGACGATTAGTGGTTGGTACTTTGAGAGTCAACAAGAAGAACAGATCTGACGCGTATGTCTCAACCGATGGCTTGCTCGATGCAGATATCTTCATCTGTGGCTCAAAAGATCGTAACAGAGCATTGGAAGGTGACTTGGTTGCTGTTGAACTGTTGAGCGTTGATGAAGTTTGGTCAAGTAAAAGAGAAAAGGAAGAAAAGAAGAGACGTAAGGATAACAACAATAGTTCTAATGGGCCTTCTGCAGGTGACATCGTTGATGATGTGCATAACGATGCCTCAACACATACATCGGGCGCTACCCAAGCATCTTCATCGGGGGCTGAATCAAAATCTGAGAGTGGGTTGCAAAGAAGGGGCTCTTTAAAACAACGTCCAACTTTAAAGAAGAACGATGACGTTGAAGTTGAAGGACAGTCACTTCTGCTAGTTGAAGAAGAAGAGATAAGCGATGAATACAAGCCTCTATACGCTGGACATGTTGTTGCAGTAATTGACCGTATTCCTGGTCAACTGTTTGCAGGTACATTAGGTTTACTCAGACCTTCACAACAGGTTAAAGAACAGACACAACCTGTTCAGAGACCTAAGATTGTTTGGTTCAAACCTACAGATAAGAAAGTTCCTCTAATTGCTATTCCAACAGAACAGGCACCTCGTGACTTTGTTGAGAACGTTGATAAGTACTTGAACAAAGTGTTTGTCGCCTCTATAAAACGTTGGCCGATTACATCTCTACACCCCTTTGGTACTTTGATATCCGAACTGGGTGTCATTAACGATCCAAAGATTGAAGTTGATGCTATTCTCAGAGATAACAACTTTTTATGTGAGGAGTACTTGGATAACGATGGTGTGGAGCGTGAAGATTTCGATTTGGATGACGTGGACTTGGATGAAGAGTTCGCAAAGAGACGCGATTTCACAGATGAGTATGTGTTGGCCATTACAGAGACTGGTGAGTTTAGTGACCATGCCATCCATGTGAAGAGAATTGACAATGAAAAGATTGAGCTTGGTGTTCACATTGCTGATGTTACACAATATTTGAGGGAAGGTTCACCTTTGGATAAAAGTGCCAGAAAGAGATCCAGTTCTGTCTTTTTGGCTCAAAAGACTGTTCATTTGTTGCCTAAATTCCTGAACGACTTGGTTAGCTTCAAGAAGGGGGAAAAGAACCTCAGTGTATCAGTGGCTTTTGAGATTGACACAGCAACTTTTGAAATCGATAACGTGTGGATTGGTGAGAGTTTTGTGGAACCAAAGAATTTGTTATCCTTTGACGATATTGATTCAATCTTTGCAAATACAGATGAACTTGGCAACATCTCCTCTGCTTCAAAGGATTACGTCAAGACAATTGCATTGATATCCAGAGAGTTCAAACGTCAAAGATTGGAGAGTTCCAAATTGGATAGCAATGTTGTCCTTTCACTTTTGGATCAAGTTGACGACGAAAAAGTTCGTCTGGATCTGAACCTATTTGAATCGAGCTTGTGTGGTTCTGTACTCAACGAGATCTTTCTGAAAGTCAACAGTACTGTGGCACAACGTGTCTATGCCATCTTGGGAGATACTGCTTTCTTGAGAAGGCACCCAATGCCAACTTTGCAAAAATTGGAGACTTTTAAACGCAAAGTTACACAGATGGGATTTGAAATCGATACTTCATCACCTGCATCTCTTGTGACATCAATCATCAACATCGAAGACAAAGTATCCAGAGAATGTGTTGAAATTTTACTGTACAAGGCATTATCAAGATCGAAATACTTCATCGCTGGTAAAGTTGAACCGGAGAATTATTTATCCTTTTACTTCAATTTACCTCTCTATACCCATTTCACTTCGCCTTTGAGACGCTATGCTGATATCATTGTCCATAGACAGTTGAAGAAGACTTTGAAAGGAAACGGGGAAACCATTGTTGTCACTGATGAAGATTTGGAGTCTTTAAAGATGACTGCAGAGTACTGCAATTTCAAGAAGGATTGTGCAAAGGCTGCTCAGGATCAAAGTGTCCACCTTCTTTTATGCCAAACCTTGAACAAAATTGCACATTCCACAGGACAAGTGATTGTTATGGCTACTGTGTTACAAGTTTATGAGAGTGCCTTTGACGTTTTTATTCCAGAATTTGGAATCGAAAAGAGGGTACACGGAGATCAACTGCCTTTAAAGAAGGCTGAATTTGACAATGCCAACAGCGTATTGGAGCTATACTGGGAGAAGGGAATTGACACTGCCACCTACATCCCAGATGACGAGCGCGAACCTTTAAGTTATCGTAACTCTATCAAGAACAAGTTTAAGGTAGGCACCAACGAGATTGCCTCAAAGTTGCAAAATAGCTCATCGGCTGATGACTCCGTGTGTGAAGAATTTGCAAAGTTGAAATTGACACCGCCAAGTATTCCTGAGATGAAGCACAAAACGTTGGACGACTTATTCCAAAACGTTCCTTTGAGAGTTGAAGGTGACGATCTGGTGCAAGAGATACACGAATTGAGCCAAGTCCCAATCCTATTGAGAGCTGAGATTGGTATGGCCTTGCCATGTTTGACTGTCCATGCTGTCAATCCATTCACTAACTACTGAGCTTTTGCTCTTGGTTTTTTCCACCTGTTTATATCAATTTTTTGAGATTGTTTGTTGTTGTTGTTGTTGTTGTTTTGAGGGGCTCCAGGGATATAATAATGTCCTGAGGAGACCACTCGTCGTTTGAAGTTCCATTTCATGTCATGTGTTTCCGTTTTATAGTGTGTTTTTGTAGTCCCTGGAGAAGCATTAGATAAAAGCACCGCTTAATAGTTACTGCGTAGCCGAGCAGCGAAAGAACCGGGTAACCCCGACGTGCCTATTGTTCCCAATTCCGGGGACAGAAGAAACAAGGAGCAGGAGGCGGATTGCAAGCGAAAGAAAACACGACAAAAGTGGCCTCCATTGTCAACTGTGACACATCTCACTGTGGTTGCCTACGCCGGTCCATTGTGTCCAGTATTTTATACCGCTGGTGTAGAAAATAATTATCGACACTATGCCTCAAAGATCTGTAGCGAGCAAAAAAGATAAGACAAAGATGAACATCACCATCAACACTCAGAACGTCTGATCTCGGCTCCTGCTTGGTCTCTCGCGCCCTCCCTCCCTCCCACTCTTCACAGTTTGAACGACAAGAACATTTCGCCAACCCTTTTCTGCTGTTCCTTTTTTGCCAGGGCTGTGTAAAAGGTGATGTGCACTGTTCATAGGGGGAGAGAAAACGTGGGACGTGCTGAGATAAGGCAGGAAAAAGCATGGGAGGAAGCAGAACCGCAACAGCAGTCGAAGCGAAGCCGGTGTATAGTGACAACCCAGGGCTAACACCCGCTATAACATCATATGTTGCACAGAGTAAACAAAGAGCTATGAGGGAAGGCCGCAATGTTGCAAATGGCCAAACAAACGGCAAAGAAGTAGGATAAATGAATGATTGAAAAAGGGTAAATAAACACACGGTGGTCTCCGTAAAACAAAGTCACGCAAGGAAAATTTCAACAGGGCAGCGGCCAAATGCAAGGGTGTTTGTGTTGTTTTTCTGTTTGTGTGTTCCTTATATCCTCTTAGTGTCTCGCACAGTTTACAATTTGCTTAAGAAGAGGACAGCTCGCCTCTTCTTTCTACCAAGAGCTCACACTGTTTACGTCCTTGCAGTGAACATCAAGAGCTGCACACATCAGGAACAGCTTTTTTTCGATTTGGAACAATGACTATTGCGTACAAGAGGAAGGTATCGTTCGACTCGCTTGCTCCGTTCACGCCAACTGAGCCCGATGATCCCCCATACATTCCACCGCAGTACGCTACAAAGAGGAAGAAGGCGCTGGATTTGAGCTATGGGTTCGACTCCAAGCCAAAGGTGGATGTCAATGATCTGTTTGACTCTTTCAACCAGATTCCCTACGGCCGCCGCCCTTCTCTGACCCCGAACATGGCGTCGACGTCAGCGGTCCCCACAAAGGCTCCGAAGTTACCCCCACCTCCAAAGAAGTCCATACTGAAAGTGAGCGACAAAGGCTGTGCGTTGAATCTTGTTGGCGATAACGAAGCTTCGAGGAAGAAGTCTCTTGTTGATATGACACCTGAGGAGCTGATGGCGATGGATTCTCAGTTCCGGAAGGGGGTTTCGTTGGAGAAGTTGAAGTTTGACGGTGACGGTTACTTGCCAATGCAGAACTTGACCAAGCTTGAGTCGAACCATATGTCGATGACTACCAACGTTGATAAGTTCATTGGAACCACGGTCAACAACAAAAATGTGCTGACCCCGTCGATTGCAAACTACAACTCTTATTCGACAACCTTCACACATGAAGGGATGAATTCGTACATACAAGACCATCTCCACAAGTTGAAATCCATGTCGCAGGAGACCTTGCCCAAGAACGAGTCCACGCTGAATGAAGAGCTACCCCCAAGTTTACGAGATTTGGCTGTTTACATCAGTGGTAGACGGCACACGTGGAGCGCATTAGATTGGACGTTGAAGCAGGTTGTTAAAGATGGGGACCATCTAGTCATCATAGCACAGATTCCCGAAAAGGTTGCGCTTGATCCAATGAACTACTATGGAGGTTATCGAGCAAGTACTAACGAAAGTGACGATCCAAGTGACTCTGATAAGAAGTTACCACCTTATGATTATTTAGAAGTTGACGAGGTATATGGGAGTGAAGGCATAAGAGACGAGGCGCATAGAATAGTTGCATACGCTTTCAAATTCTTGGAGAGTTTGGGCAGAAAGGAGTTGAAGATTAGTGTCACTGTTGAGCTGATAAGAGAGGCAGACGTTGAGAAGTTGCTGAACAAGGCATTTACACTGTACACCCCAGATTTGTTCATTGCATCCACTATGAGAGTGAAGTACAACGCCCTCTCGGCTAAGAACAAGAGAATCCCATTCTATGCATCGACCAAATTGTGTCTTCCAACAGTTGTTATCCCTTCGACCCTAGTTGATGACTCCCTCATTAGCATGGAGAAATCAACAAAGACGACACCATTCAAGAGCATTTCGGATCTCAATGAATTCCTTGATTCAATGGGCGACGACGATGAGACATTTAAATATGAGACGCCAGTTAAGAATGCGCATTCAAGGTATATATTCGATCCATACAGCACCCCACTGGTGTGTTCGAACACCTCCACAACCACTGATACAACTGCTAGCGAGGCCAATGACCCGTCTGACTACCTCGGCTTGGTTTCGACTAATTCCACAGGTAGAATCAAATTCATGGACAACCTGCAAACCCCAAAGAGTGGAGCAGGCATGTATGGTAACGGTTCTAGAAGAAATTCACACGGCTCAGGGGTCTACAAAGTGAAGAGTCTGTTGGATGCTGATCCCACGCCTGTGGAGAGATCAAAGTCCTACTCCAGTCCAATGACAAACAGCATATCTAATGGTTCGGTCTACAGCGCTGGTAAAAAGATCACTGGCCCTGGAATCAAACAAGTCAAGTCTGATTCCCAGGTCCCAACGGAAAAGAAGAAGAAAGGTTTGTTTGGGCTCTTCAAACGTAAGAAATGAATCGACTGCTATGCCTTGTATGTGTTTATAAAGAGAGAATGAGAGACAAATATATGAATGTATGGATGTAATTGATAAGCTGTTTGACGTCATACCGATAAGCAAAGACACAGCGATGAGCAGAAGGAAAAAAAAATGACCGGTGCGTGATCTCCAAGACCCCGCAAAAAGCCCCTAGAAACATATGTGGTGTTCGGATGGTGGAGTAGAACAGCTTAGATTGGTTTGGGGGATGATGGCACGAGAGTTGAATATATAAAGCCCTCATAGGATCTTCCTTCATCCCCTGATGCCATTGCTTCTGACCTTCACGTTCATTGCTATCATCAATCGCAAGTCATTACAAAGTTCACAATGCTAACACCAGTTTTCAAATCAGCAGCTGTAGGCTTCGTCACGGGCTCTACCGTGCCATTGCTAGTCACTACGCTGTACTTGATGCCACAACACCAGTACTCTGAGCAGCAGGAATTGAACTGGTTGAAGAGAATTGTTGGCGTGTTGACCTGGCAAGTCAAGAAGCTGGAGGCGAGACAGCTGGGTATCGATACTGCTAAGCTATCTGAAGGTTACAGAGATGGGTTATACTGGGCCGGATTCTAAGCACTATACCCTACTCTCTACACTTTCAATTTTGCATCACGTTACTACAGATTACTACAATGAAACTACATTCGAATTATAACTCAATTGACTTGAGCTATTCTCTTTTTATTCTCTTTTTTTTTTATTACTGTTATCATGGTCAATTATATGGCATTGAAACTGATTACATTCGCTTGCAATAT